GATCTTATTCCGGTGCCAGATGGGGCTATTGAGGCTGTTGCCAAGATGAAGGAATCGCAGGTCCTGGAGCGACTATCTTCCGGGATTGAAGTCGGCGAAAGCAGTGGCACCGGAGAGAATGTGGAGAAACCAACCGAGGAGGTCCAGGATTGATTTTCTGTGTTTTGTCTTTGTTATTTTCTTTGTTTATTGGTTTGCATAAGATAATCGGGGTGCCGGCATGTCGGCATCCTTAGTAGGAAATATTTCTAAGTTTGTGATATGTAATCGGGGATGTTGGATAGCCGACTCCCTTAGTAGGAAATATTATGTAAGGGATTCCCCAGACTTTTCGAAATATATTTATATATGAAATATTCGAGTATTCTTGATTTTGATTGTATGTTTTGCTGTACAAATTTCAGCGATTTTCGACCAAGTGTTTTGAATTCGGTTTTCAGTAGAAAATAAACTGCTTCAACTCGGAATTACTTAAATCATGATCCGAGTTGTAAGATTTTATAAGGATAACTTCCGAATTCCATTTTGATCATTTATAAGAATCTCAGCCACAAGTGTGAGTCGATTATGCGAGTTTTCAGATAACTTCGCAGAACTCAACACATTTTTAGGGCTGTACGGGAAACAAAATGAAAGTCATCGGACTTCGTCAGAGTCCGATTATAGAGTGGCCCCAACCGAGTTGTTTGAATGAGTGTTCGGTAATTATCGGGACCCGTCAAATCATGTTAGCTGAAGTGACGTTTGACGAGCTTCAACCCCGACCAAACCATACGTGGGGTTTGGGTGTATTACGGGGTATCAGCTAGACCGAGTGTCGCAATGTTTACATCGGCATGATATATTTAACCATGTTTCAAAAGGTTTACATTGGCATCGAGCTTGGTGCTTGACTATTCAGTACATCAGTACATCAAAAGAGGTGATTTCAGGCATTCTCCAAGGCAAAAGAGAAGGTCCGTACAAGAGGGAGGTCGATTATGCGACTTCGGATCCTTCATTGATAGAATTTTTTCAGGTACACCGCGTTCCAAGGATATTGATGTGGTGTTCCATCGGGATGCGCAATTCGGTAGGCCCCATGAGGTAGGATTTTGATGATTTGAAAGGGTCCTTCCCATCGCGGTTTAAGTGGTCCGGGGTCAGGCCCCATGATACGCTTGAGGACCAAATCTCCAACTCGGAACGCACGGGGTTTGAGTTTAGAATTGATATATCTTTCATTTCTTTGCTTGTATGCAGCATTCTTGAGTTCGGACCGAATACGGTTTTCTTCAAGTAGGTCCAGATTCGCTTTCATGTTTTCCGAGTTGGCTTCTTCGGTGAAATGCTGAATTCGGTAAGTCGGTTCTCCGAGCTCCACCGGGACTACGGCTTCAGCACCGTAAGTCAGAGAAAATGGGGTCTCGCCGGTGGACGTCCGTGCGGTAGTCCGGTAAGCCCACAGGACATGTGGCAACTCCTCGGGCCAAGCTCCTTTGGCGGCGTCAAGTCGGACTTTGAGACCATTCTTTATGAGTTTGTTTATGGCTTCAACTTGACCGTTAGACTGCGGATGGTAGGGAGATGAGAAGAAGTGATTGATGTTGTATCCTTCACACAGGGATTCAAGTCGTTTGCCTTCAAATTGTTTGCCGTTGTCGGTTATGATGGAATTCGGCACCCCGAAGCGACAGATAATTGACTTCCACACAAAATCTACGACCTTCTGTTCGGTTATCGTGGCTAACGGTTCAGCCTCGGCCCATTTAGTGAAATAGTCAACTGCCACGATAGCAAACCGGACACCTCCCTTTCCGGTTGGTAGAGGGCCAATAAGATCAATCCCCTATTTGGCAAACGGCCACGGACTGTAAATTGATTTTAGTTCTTCGGGAGATTGATGGACGTTCGGGGCAAACATTTGGCATTTCGGGCATTTGCGTACCCATATGGCGGCGTCGGTCTTCAAAGTCGGCCAGTAGTAACCTTGCCGCAGGATTTTATAGGACAGTGCCTGTGCACCGGGGTGACTTCCGCAAATCCCTTCGTGGACTTCTTCAAGAATGTACCGTGAATCAGTTTCACTTACGCATTTCAAAAGTGGAACAGAGTATCCCCTTTTGAACAAAGTTCCGTTGTCTAATGTGTACCGAGCTGCTCGAATCCGAAGTGCTCGAGCTTCTTTTGGGTTCAGAGGTAAGGCCCCAGTTTCCAGGTAGTGGATGATAGGATCCATCCAAGTTGGTGATTTTTGCGATGCTACTGGATCGATGGCCGTGACCTCGGAAAGGGCAGTTGATGGTTGTTCTTGTTGGCCGATTTGGATGTACTCCGCGCTCTCCATCCCGGTACTGGACGCAAGTCGAGATAAGGCATCTGCTTGAACATTGAGAGTCCGGGAGATATGCTCGAGGTCGGCGGAGAATTTTGATAATTTCCGTTTAGCCAAAGAGAGGTAAGGTGTCAGCCGAGGTTCCTTGACTTCATACGAACCGTTGACTTGATTGACAAGGAGTTGTGAGTCTGAGAAGACTTTGAGGTGGGTCACGTTCATGGACTCTGCCAAATTCAGTCCGGATAGCAGTGCTTCGTACTCGGCCTCATTGTTTGTTGCTGGAAAGAGGAACTTCACCGAGTGACAGAATAACCGATTCTCTGGATCAGCTAAGACTATCCCTGCACCTGCTCGGTTGGCTGTTGAAGAACCATCAATATAGAGGACCCATGGTTGATTATTGCAATGAACTGTGATGGCCGGGGTAAACTCGGCGATAAAGTCGGATAAGGTTTGGGCTTTGATTGCAGTCCTCGGTTGATAGTGGATGTCGAATTGTCCGAGCTCAATGGCCCATTTAACCATGCGCCCCGAGGTGTCAGGTCGGTGCAAGATTTGCCGAAGTGGATATGAAGTCCGAAACAGTTATAGAATGCTCTTGGAAGTATGGTCGTAATTTCCGAGCTGCTATCACAAGTGCAAACGCTAACTTTTCCATCGGAGGATAACGTAGTTCGGCATCATGCAAGGCCTTGCTGACATAATAAATAGGTGATTGCAGCAACCCTTCTTCGCGTATCAAGACAGCACTAACGGCAGATTCGCTAACTCCGAGGTATAAGAACAACATCTCCTCGGGTTTCGGCTTTTGCAAAGTTGGGGGAGAGATCAGCGTCTCCTTGAGATTGTCAAGAGCCCTTTGACATTCCTCAGTCCATTCAAAACGTTTCCCATTCTTGATTGCTTCAAAAAACGGCTTACAACGATCTGTAGACTTGGAGATGAACCGGTTGAGTGCAGCAAGTCGGCCAGTTAGGGCCTGGACGCCCTTGACCGAGGTTGGGGGAGTTAGATCTTGAATGGCCTTTATTTTGGCCGGATTAGCTTCTATCCCGCGCTGACTAACCATATAACCTAGGAACTTTCCGGATTCAACTCCAAAAGTACATTTCTTTGGATTCAGCACCATGGAATAACGTCGGAGGATGGCGAACATGTCTCGAAGATGCGCTATATGATCAGAGGCGTGTACCGACTTGACGAGCATGTCATCAACATAAACTTCCATAGTGTGTCCGATCAACGTCGCAAACATCTTGTTGACAAGACGTTGATACGTGGCTCCGGCGTTTTTTAGTCCGAACGGCATCATAGTGTAACAATACAGACCTCGGGCCGAATAGAAGGAAGTGTGTTCAGAGTCCTCGGGATCCATAGGAATCTGGTTATAGCCGGAGTATGCGTCCATGAAACTCATCAATTCATGTCCCGACGTGGCGTCGACCATATAATCGATATGAGGGAGTGGATAACTATCTTTTGGGCACGCCTTGTTGAGATCGGAAAAATCAATACATAGTCTCCACAACCCATTACTCTTTTTAACGAGCACTGGATTTGAGACCCACGTCGGGTATTTGGCTTCCTTGATGAATTTATTGTCAACTAGTTTTTTGACTTCTTCTTCCAATGCCTTCTGACGATCCGGCCCCAGTTTCCTTCTCTTTTGTACAACCGGCCGGACTGTTCGATCAAGGTTTAGTTTGTGGCTAGCGACACCGGGGTCGATACCCTTCATGTCCTCGTGCTTCCAAGCAAAGACATCAGAATTCTGCTTGAGAAACGCAATAAGTTCTGACCGAAGTGGTTCATTAAGATGACTTCCGATACGTAGTGACTTGTGGAAGATTGGTTCGTCAATATAGACTAACTCCACGTCCTCCCCAGGTTCGGCTCGATCAGGTCGACTTTTTTCTTTAAACAAGGCTCTGGGATCCAGCTCGTCTTCTTCCAGGAGGGGCTCTTTTCCAGGTCGGCGTCCTCGGTCCTCGGTTAAAGGATCCGAGGTGGAAGGCTCACCGACGTGGTTGCTCGGTTCTTCGGTCGTTGCGCCATTCGGATGATGATGTTGTGAGAAGGTTTCATGGTTACTCGTTGAAGCTGAGTGAACTCCATGAGAAGGGATGAACGTTACAAGTTGTCGAGCTTCTCTTTGATCCCCGAAGTGGGTTCCTTCTCCTCTGGTTGTCGGGAACTTTAATGCGTAGTGGAAGATTGAGACTGCGGCACGAAGTTTGTACAACGCCGTTCTGCCGATGATGGCGTTGTATTCGTTATTAATATCCATAACTTTAAAAGTCTCCATAACGAGTTTGGTGACATTCTCCGAGGTACCAAATCGGACGGGCAAAGTGATTTCTCCGATGGGTTTTGAAATACTGCCATTAAACCCCTGAATTTGATCGTTGCAAGGTCTGATCTCGGCAGGGTCAAGACACATCTTGTCAAAAGCTTTCAGCATCAAAATACTTGAATAGGCCCCAGTGTCCACCATGACACGATGAACCGGGATACCACATATCGGAACGGTAATAACCAGGGCGTCAGAATGAGGATGAGCGAAATGATTCGCGTCCTCCATATTGAAAGTTATTGGGCAATTCCGATTGTTGAGAACATCTCTCAAATCGGTGGTGTAAACCTGTTTACCGGAGTTGTAAGCTTGTCGGGCATACGCCTTGACTTGTCTGCGGGACAACGTACTCCGGGAGTTGTTGGTATTGACCCGATGGACAGTTATTTGCATTGGTTCAGGAGATCTATCTCGCTTACGTCCTTGGGAAACTTCAGTAGGGGCAGAACCAGAGGTTTCCGAGGTAAATATGAATACTTCTTTATTCCCCTGTCGGATGCGTTTTGTCATTGCACCTCGGTCTTCCTCGTCATCTTCATCATCAAAGGATTCGATCTGACGCCCAGGACCTCGCCTCTGGGAATCAGCATTACGATAGAATTTCCTAAGCTGCGGATGGCCGATTAAACGCAGCAATGCGGCCAACAAACTCAAACACTCGTCCGTGTTGTGCCCGGGCGACTTGTGGTAATCGCAATATCGGGATTTGTCCAGTTTTTCTTCAGGTGCCCGAAGTGGCTTGGGATCTGGCAAAATGCCCTTCCCTTTGATTTCTGCATAAGTAGTAGCTGCTCCCGCCGAGTACACAGTTTGATAACCGGACTTCACGTCGGTTGCATACTGTTTTCGGGCCGCCCTGACTTCGGGATCGTTGGGGTCTCCTCGGGGAGGCCCCCTGAATTGAGTCTTATTTTGCTTGTCAAAAAATTTATTCTTCCTTTTTTCGTCGGTTCCCACTTTAGAGGCCTTTTGGTTAAAATTGAAGTCGGGAACCGACATGGCTTCTTCCGCTATGATATGCTGTTGGGCTCGAGCGAGAAATTCTTGAAAAGTATTCGGTTTATTTTGGCATAACGTCCAGCGGAAAATCGAGTTTGGTTTCAACCCAGCAATAGCCATAACAAGCAAAGTTTCCGGATGACAGGGTTCCATATTTTGAACTCGGTCGTTGAAACGGGCGATATAATCTTTCACGCTTTCATCATCTTTTTGGGTAATGTTGGCAAGAGACTCTTTCGGGATGAGACATACTTGGGCCCCAATGAAATGAGATCGGAAAGCCGACCTCAATTGTTGCCATTTCCAAATCGAGTGAGGGGGAAGTGAATGGTACCATTTCTGGGCCCGAGGTCCCAATGTTAGTGAAAACATGCGACACCGAAGTGCATCTGACGCTCCGTGCAGGTCCATCCAAGAGGTGTAATGACCGAGGTGGGAGTCCGGGTCGGATGTTCCATCATATAGCCCGATTTGGGGAACCTTGACTTTTCCAGGAACTGGTTCCGAAGTAAGTTCCGGAGTGAGGGGAGAATCGGCTTCCAAATACACCTGAGCCGAGGTAGAGGCCCGCCGAGGTGGATCCTCAGGTGCCCGTTGCCGACTTTCCAATTCGGCTATTCGTCGTCGTAGCGTTTCGAGTTCGGACGACTCTTGGCGAGCCCGATTCCGTTCAATATGCTGTCGGAGGTCGGTTTGCGCCGGATTGGAAGGATGCAGGTGCTGCTCGCGAGGTGGTGTCCGTCGTAAATGACCCGACTGACTTTCGGCAGTTTCCTCTTGGGGAAGTATGGGATGATTACGCCCGGCGTCAGTGCGTCGTGTATTTTGTTCCGGAGGTGGTTGTGACATTCGATCACGAGGTTGAGATGTAGCATGAGAAGTTGTCCTTCCGCCGTCTTGTCGTGCCAGTTGATTTTGTCGGTTCGCGGGGGTCGTGGGAATGATAGAGTGTCCTGGAGCCGTTGTTGATGTTCCTGGCATCGTCTGGGCCATTAAAGCGGCAAAACCACGTGCAAATTCCGGATTTTGAAACAAAACAGCATAATCCGGTATAGGTGGAGCCACGGCTTGCCGTCTAGCGGATTGCCCGGCGCTACGACTGTGGCCGTCTCGTGACGTGTGACCACGATGATCTGAGTGAGACATGGTGGATATGGCTAATATGCACCGTTATGTGAAAACGCGGAGATTAACCTCAAATCACTTATGAGGCCCTCCTTCTAGCGCCAAACTGTTGTTATGTGATTTTTAACAACGATGTAACTTGAGATTAAGTGGATAATTTTAAATTATTTGGACGTAAAGCATGTAAGATTTACTCAACAATGGCCCCGGTCCGAGGTGAACCGAGGTGAAGAGCCGTGATGGGCTTTTTCGTGTTGCTTAGTAAAGTATTTTCAGTTCGGAGAGAGATCCCCGTACAAATGTTATAGGCCCGCTATTTATAGTAATTTCGGGTTGATACATTGGGATCTGTGCATGACTTTTTCGAATAAAGTTACTTTTTGTGGGCGGTTTGAGGCAGGGGGTCCCACATAAATGATGACGGATCTTGTGGAGCTGGAGGGTCACACGTAGGCGCCTTGTCACCCGCTTAGGGAGGTGACGACCTCGGTTCACGTTGATCTCGGAAGACGTTGACCTCGGTAGTCGTTGACCACTTCGGCCTTTGGTGGTTCAGACTGGTTCTTTTGTGTAGATCGGTGCGGTTCTGATTCACGTCGGTTTAACAGTTAATCGCATTTAACAAGATGCTTAAAACCTCTTAACAGTGTCTTGCCGAGTCGGATGATAACATTAGCCTAAAACGAATTCTTGGAATATGTTGTACAATGAAAAACGTATTACGAGAATCTATTTTACATTGAAAAACAGATTTCGATAATCGGTTGTTTGATTTTGGTCCACACTTTTTTTTTTATTTTTATTTTTGTCCAGTATTTATTTATTTATTTATTTATTTTTTTGTTTAAATAAAAAATTCCGGATTATCCTCATAGTTTTGTTAAGTATTTATTTCAAATAATAATAATGAGGTTAGGTTGGATGCGTAAAAATCTTATCTGAATATAAAGTCAGACCTAGCCTACTATTCAAAACCTAGGGTAGCAAAGTACAGCGACCAAACCAACCATTACATAGATCTCCGACAAACTTCTCTCCAAACTTCTCAAACTTCTTTTCTTTCCCTCAAAGAATGAATAAATCCTTCATCTCTCTTCCTCAAAAAATGAATAAATCAACCATGTATTCATCTCGTTCGGTATGGATTCAAGATGATTCAATTTCTCTTCGAGGTCGGAGATCTGTTCGAGATCCGCGGCCACTCCTCACGGGTCACGGCATTGATTACGAAGGTGGGTGCTTTTCGAAGGGGTGATTCCCGGCGGCGCAATTCCAGGCGACGGCATAAAGCGGCTGAGGGTCCCTGTAGCTGTTTCGGTTTCAGGTTTTGCATATATAAAATATATTGTAATATATATTTTTTTTTGCGTTTTATTTTTCGCTTTTTTAAAAATAAGTTTAATATATATTCAATATTTATTTAATATATATTTTTTTGGTTTTTTTTTATTTTTTTTTTTGCGTTATTTTATATATATTAAATATATATATTTATAAAATAGATAATTATAAAATCTATAAATATTAGAAATATATTTAATATATTAATATATATTTTCTATAAATTTAAAATAAATAATATACTTATCTCACCCATTATTACAGCCCACACTATTACTATTACACAGCCCACAGCCCATAAGAAGCCCAACCCACACTATTACCATTACACAACCCATAAGAAGCCCAATGGCCAATCGTGTAACCCAACCCAATACACGCCGTTTGATTTAGTTGACCTCAGCACGAAAACATTTCACATATCGCAGATTTTTTTTTTATTTTTTAATCCATTTTTTTTACTCACGAAAATTAAAATTACTCCCGCAAGACATATGATCTGATGATCTCCCCACGGCAATCTCCCCACGCAAGAAATGATCTCCCCAAGAAAATGATCTCCCCAAGCAACTGTGCCAAACAAGTAGTATAAGTATCAGTGAATCAACACTATCTCCTCACTCACTACTCATTCATCACTCACTATTCACACTGCACACTACACACACAGTAATGTCTGCCATGCTTAAGCTTAAGAAAATTGCAACTTTTGTTGGAAATCGTCTTTTGTGGGGAAGTGGAGGACAGAGCCGGTCCTGAACATTTGTAGGCCCTGGGCTAAATAAGAAAAAAAGTGCCTCAAGTAGTTTGATTTCTCTAAAAAATAAAATGATACATTTTAATTAGTACCAATAACGATCAATTTTTTCCATATAATTCCCTCAAATTATGCGCTAGAATAAAGGAAGAGTTGTTCATCTTACTCGTAACCTTTTTTAGGCATGTATATAATATTATAATTACATTTTATCTGTTTGGTATATACACAAATATCTTGGTTTCAATGATAATGTTGCAATTAATTAAAAAACGGTAAGTATAGATAAAAATTTCCCTATTAGTTTTTCTTCTTATTCTTTCAGTTAAATACAAAACAATTACGACATATAGTACTCACGTTATTCTTAAGTAAAACAATTTTATAATCTAAATTGGGTCCGACTGTGCAAACTAGTCCATATAATGTTGATTTGCTCGCCACTATTATTTTTGTTAGGCAAGATTGAACAAAAAATGAGTAACATGTAAAACAAATAAATAATGGAAGCGGAAAAATTGGGGCGATTTATTTTGTTCAATAATAAAAGTGAATAAAATAAATAATTACTAGAAGTTAGCAAGGGTATATTTGCTATTATTTTTAATTCCCCCCATTCCTACTCCCACGGGGTTTAGTCGACGTCACCCGCGCGGGTGACGCCCATTTTCACTGTTGACCAATCACAGATTTACATCTGGAAAAAATAATTTGTGATTATTTTTTTCACTCCCGTCTCTTTCCATCGTTTTCCACCTCATTTTTCATTTTTTTTTTTTTTAATTACCAACCATGGTTCCAGACCATGGTTAAACTCAGATCTGATTTAACACCACTCCATTCCTTCACATTTCTCTCTCTCTCTCGAACACCACATACATTTCTGGAGATTCCAAGCAACAGGTACAGACATTTCTCTCTCTCAAACACCACACACGGAATAATAATATTAAGCATTCCCTTTATGGATCCGAATCCGGTGGATAACCGACGGCGGCCGGGATACGAGTACCGCCATCAGATCGAGATCGACGAGGGCCGCGTAAATACGAACCGGCGAGTCCCCTGAGAGACCGCTGCGAGTTCGAATTCCAGATCCGAACCAATTTCATCCTAAAACCAAGAGATCCCGGCGCCGGCGAGACCACTCTGTCCTCCGAGACTATCTCCGAACCCATCTTCTGCTGCGAGCACGAGTACCAGCTCTTCCCTTGCTCGCAAATCCGGATGAGGGAGTACTGGATGACGGAGGCCCATATCCAGGAAATCGACGAGGCGCGTGAACTGTGCGGATCCACGGAGAAATCGACGGCGGACAGGGGTCCACGTATCATCCCCGTGACCGTGAGGATTGACGTCTGCACGGTGCAGCAGGAC